CTGACTGTGAGAATTAAGTGTATTGCAAAGTTGTAATTGAGAAGGAATAAACTAGTTTTATTTAAGGAAGGACTTGTAGAATTTAGAATCTGTGCTAGCCGTCCCTAATTTAGCTGTGTAAGACTAGAGGGAAGGCAGCTAGTCATCACCACCTACCGACAACTCTTGGGCTACTCTTTTACCAACGAATAGAGGGATTGACCGTCACATTATAACGCCCCTACGGCTAAAAGGGCGAGCATGTTTGGTGTGACGGGGATTCGAACCCGCGACCCACAGATTACGAGTCGAGCGCCCTAACCACCTGGCCATGCCGGGCCCTCCAAGCATGGAAGCATTAATTGTGCGTGACCAAGTAAAAACTTTGTGTTGTATTTTATTTATGGAAAATAATTCACCATCTCCTGTTTTTCAAAAATGGTTAACTTGACCAGTGTATTTGTATTGAACATAGTTTTGATAATGAAACGTTAAAACTAGGAGCATTGTATGAGGATATACTGTATATTATAATTAAATACAAAAATAAAAAAGGTGGTAATGGGGAGGAGGGTCAGTCAACGAACCCACCTCTGGATATACTCTGTTAGTCTGTTATGGATCAAAATAACATTTAAATATAATCTAACGTTCAGAATACATCGTTATCCATACATCATTTAAACACCTTCATTACTTTGACTTGTCCCCTTAGGGTGTTAAAATCTTTCTTGAGTTCTGGAATTATTCCACCTCTTGCCCACTAAAGTTTTATACAAAGAGTCTTTAAGCTCATTATAAAGACTACGACTTTTTACTGTCAGAAACTACGTATGAATAATCGTGGCTTCAAAGATGTATTTTATATTTTCTCCTGGATGTGCTGTTTGTCAAAATCTAATGGCCTCATGTTGGTTTGTATTAATTAAAAAGGTAATGTATCTTCTACCAGCTGTAGATTAAAGAAATTTTACGTTTGGTAGATCAATTATGTAGAATTCAAAACTATTATAACTATTGCTCTAATTTTAATGATAAAATCATTAAACAACTACTTATTAATTCTTATGCTATCTTTTAGGTGAGGTTTAATGCATATAATCCTCAGTTGAAGGTCAGGGTCATCTCATTTTGATAATGATTCGATTCTTAACCAATTTTTGAGGAAATTAGTTATTTTTAATGAAGCAACAAACTGTCTGCTCTTAATCATGACCAGTTCTTGAAAAAATTGGTTCTTTTTAATGAAGGACAAACTTTCTGCTCTTAACCTGATAATTGTCTCTAGGTATCTTAGTTGTAGTCATATTTGAATTGTTCGTATTCACTCTTTGGTAGAACAATTAATACTTGAAACCGTCGGTACTTGATGAAACTTCATAATTCAGAATTGAGGGAAACAAAAGACAACTTTACGTTAAACAAATATTTCATTTATTATTACCAAAGTATAGAAAATTTCACAAATTCAAGTATGGTAGACATTCTTCCAGTAGTGCAGCCTTGGAGTATTTAAGCTACCTCTGTGGTACTTCCTTTAAAAATGCAAAATCATTGTAAAGGTTATTTCCAAAGAGTGAATAG